CCCGGGCCTGCCGTGCCCGTGGAAGGAGCCTCCCTTCCAGGTGGAAGCAAAAACAAGTGGCTTGTAGCACAGATGTGCTCGATCCCGGACCAAAGCACACTAAGAGAGGGTCCCTCGCTCGCACCGGGGGAGGAAGAGTTTAGAAGGGATCAGGCAGGTTGTAATGAGCTGCAGTGTCAGTTGACTCCCTCGTTTCTACCCGAATAAAAAATGCTGCTGCTGCTCCTAGGTAGTTGGTTTTAAACTGAGTAGAGCAGGCATCCAAGTGGGACGCGGCTGCATCATTGCACTCCCCATGGGTGACTGGTGCCTCCTGAGAGTCGGTGGGGGCACAGTTTGCGAGTGGCGACCACCCGCAGAAGTCGGTGTGAGTGGAGGGGCGAGTGGCAACCACCCCCAGAAGCTGGCAGTGGTGGCCAATCTCAGGGGTGGCATGTGCCCCACGCTATGCCTCCCCTACCAGTTGCCTATGGCACTCCCAGATCCACCTCTGCGTCTTCCTGGTTTCAGACTAACATGGTTAACTACCTCTCCATCTCCCACCTCATTCCTCTGCTTTAATGCACTTCCTAGCAAGCCACGAGTGCAATCACTAACTCTGTTTCCTGTACATTCACTACAAATGGGGTCTGCCCTAGGAAGGCATGGGCACCAGGGAGGCCCTCATTGCAGCACCTGGTCTGGCATGTTTTGTAAAAAGCCTAAGGTACGTGTCCGGGGTGTCCAGGCATGCAGGTGAAAGGAAGATACCCAGTGGCATGTCTGGTGGAGAAACGATCCCGCCTTCTTTCAGCTCAGCTCTGCTTGAAACAGTAAAAATAAGACACCCTGAAAATCTGCAGTTTTATTCAGTTGCGGAACTGAGGTGGGGCGACCAGGGTAGTAGCCCTGCAGCTAAGTTATGTGAAACGAGCAGGAAAATAGCTGCTGCTGCCTTGCCAAGAGCACCAGCAACCAGCAAGTCAAAGTTGCTCACGTGTTGATGCTGCCTTGGGCACTCAGCTGCCCTGTTAGGTCTCTGGTATCATGGTGAGTGGATGGTGCTCAGTGACCGAGTACCAGGTGATGTCTAAACTGACAGCAGTAGGTAGCTGCAAACCCTAACTGTACAGCCACTGGCCATTGTTTTGCCTGTACCCTACCCACCCCACCCCACCCAGCATATAGTTAATGTCATCCTCTATTCAGCAGAGTGACTCAACTCCCACCTTTGCTGTGAACTTTGCAGTCCCAGTTCTCCCTGCCTCTCTGCTTCCTTTGTGGCAACAACTACCTGCCCGCCCTGTCCCCCCTCTCGCTCACCCTAATGAGAACCCTTCTCCTGCCAAACTGTCCCAGCTTGCCTGAGGCTCCTCCGTGTTTCTTTCCCTGGGGGCTCTGCACAGCCTTGGCCTGGCCCAGCAGACTGCTGTTAATCCTCCTCCATGCCTAAGGGTATTAAGTGTTCAGCAGTGATAGCTGGGTGTGTATGGATGAGGTAGGCCTATGCTAATGTTGAAGGTTTGTTTTCATGGCTGTGCTCAAGCCTGAACATCCAAGCCTTCTAGCTTCCAATACTTTGTCCTCAACACAGTCCTAACTCCCCCACACTTTGGCTTATCACCTTGATGCTATTCCCTCTCCCTACATGGCCCACCATCTGCTTGTTGTCAGTACCACTATAACCTATTCTAATTAGGGTTTAGGAAATGAATCTGCTCCATGCAGATGCACTAGGATTAGGTTGTGACCCACGTCATGTGGTTCTTAACTCTGGGGGACTCCCAGCTTGGGTTGGAGTGCTTTAAGAAGGAGCGTGCAGTAGGAAGAGGCAAGTTTATTGGATAATATGTTGGCCACTGAGCAATGGGCTACTAGAAGCTCCCACTTGTAGCCTAGTCCCCAGTGTATGGATGCTCAACCTCAAGTCCACAGAGCCATGAGGTCTGGCCCGTGGGGATCCTCATGGGTTGGAAAAAAAAATTGGCAGCTCAGGAGCAGGGACAACTCCATGTGGCCAGCTCGAGCCCTGCCTGGGCCGTTGTGGCACAGTGGGGTCAGGGCTTTGCCTGCTCCCAGCATGTTTCGATCAGGTCAGGCTGCTCCTGGCCCCCTCCAAGCATCCAGATAGGGGCTGTTCCACCATGCCTAACCCCTCCTCCACCCCCGCCCCCCAGCATTTGGATCAGGGCTGGGCTGTTCCTCACCCGTTTTGCAAGTTTGGATTGGGGCTGTTCCCCCGAGCTGGTGAGTGTCCTGATCAGGGCCACTCTGCCCCACCCCACCCTACACTGCGCCACCCAATGTGTCTAGATCAGGGCTGGGCTGCTCCCCCTGAAACCCTGGCACATGCAGATTGGGACCAGTCCACTCCTCCCTCTGCGTACTTCCCAGCACATCCAGATCAGGCCCAAGCTGCTCCCCACAACTCCCCCTGGCATGTCTGCATCACGGTCCTCTACTGCACAGTTAGCTAGTACCTGTTAATACAGGTACTAGATTAACTGTAAGGTAGTCATTGTGCAGTGGGGCTCATGTAGATGCTAACCAGGAGCAAATTTGCTCCAGTTCAGCCACACCAGCAGGGGGCCACAGGGGATGCAGGAGTTTTCTGTCCCCGGTCCTGGTGTTGCTCAACTCATGGCTCCACCCAGGACCTGGGAGCTGATCAGCACCAGGACTGGGTTGCTCTCTGCCTCCCCTATCCCCACACTGTGGGGCTCCCTGCTCCCCACAGGAGCCAGGA